GAGGTCACACAGAGGTCAGCGTCAGTAAAGCTTCAGCGCTGACTGTAAACAGATTTTTGATCGATTATAGGCGGAGGTGGTTTTGACCTCGGCAGCCGTTGGGTCCAAACTGAAACGTGGACGGAGAACACCTGTCACAGTTCCTGCCGACCACGTTGGGGCGGCACTCACACTGCCCGCCGTGGGGGTCGCACACGGTGCTGAGCGAGCCCTGAGGGTCACACTGGCATTCTGGGAAATGGCATCAGACAAGGAGACACGTCAGAATAACGAGAAGACGCTAAAGCCTCAGTGACAATAGATTTATGACCGCAAGGAATGCGGAGGAGGAGGAGGAACCTGCCGGGTCCTGTCGAGGAAGTGAAGCCTAAGGCGATGGTGAGAGGATGAGTGACAGAGATTAACGTGAAGCGGGGGAGGAGGGGAAGGGGATAAAGATGTGAGGGATCCTGTGAACAAACGAACTACAGTCAGACGTGTGGTCTGACGGAGCACAGAAGTACAATTCCATCAGGTCTGCGGTTATAAAGCTCACACAACAAACCTTTAATGAAATACAACATTTGTCTTCACCTCGAGGACTTTCGGTCTGTTAATCGCCAGGGGCTGCTCACCTCATTGCAGGATGTCCCGTATGAGTGTTTGGGGTCGCAGTCGCAGGTCTGACAACCGGTGCCCGTCGCCATATTCCAGGTGTCAGGTGCGCAGCGGTCGCAATGCTGGCCGACCACATTGGGTAGACAGTGACACTGACCACTGCTGCGGTCACAGTGACAGTCAGAGGACGGGCAGCTGGAGGGAACGCTGCCAAGCCGGTTACAAACGCACTCTGCGGGTACACAACCGTCAAGGTTCAGCGACGATCGTTCGCCTGATTCTGTGAATGTGGTTACCATGGTAACCTCAGCATACTTACTCCTGCAGTCCTGGAGTAGGGCATTGCCATAGTAACCCAGCGTGCAGCTCTCGCAGGCGGCACCCTCGCTGTGGTACAGGCAGCGCAGACACTCACCGGTCTGGGCATCGCACGATTCGGGGTCCAGCATATCAATGTTGTTGTTGCACTGACACGGCTGACACTGCCCACCCGCCTCCTCGGGGTTTCCATAGTAAGCAGGCAAGCACTCGTCACAGCGAGTTCCTGCAGAGGACAAGCAAATGGTTCTTATAAAGACAGGGAGCATAACAATCACACACCAATTCATGCTGGACACATCGCAGAGCAACTTGGGGTTAGCCCACGGATATTTGGGAGGCAGGCTGGAGTAGCCAGCGATCGAACCACCAAACTCTGAGCAAGACCAGGTGACCTGCTCCTCAGCTACAGCCACCCCAGATGAGAGCTGGACACCATTTATGACCAAAAACCACAGCACAGAGCTCTGTGTGTGAGCGACCCAGCTCAAACACACTCAGTTCAAAGCT